CCCCGGGGGCGCCGCGAAACAAGCTTTCACGTGAGACTTGTTGGAAACGCCACTTCGCGGAAGCAAAGCGCTCTCCCTTGCAGTTGGAAGGAGTTTGTATATTTGTGTATAAACGCTGGCTTTTTACTTCTGCAGAAATTCACGCTTCCCCACCGTAAAATGATGTTTCCAGTAGGTATCCCGTGAAAACTCGTTTTCCGCCGTCTCTGGGGCGGCACCCTGCCCCCGGGTCTCGCCGCCCTTTCTTGGGGGGGCATCCGAGGCAGCGGCTTCCAGGATGGCGCGCGCTTTCTCCCTCCGCCCTCCATCCGCGCCCTTCCCTTTGCCGCCGCGCCCCCCCAATTCCTCGCTCGCCCCCCGCCCCTCTCGCCCGCGCCCCCCTTGCTGGCTCCGGCGGCGGGCCGGGCGCGGAGAAGTGGAAAGTGAAAAGCGAATAATAAGTCACGTGCTGTTTTTCTTTTTGCACTGCATGAATGAACCGCTGTTGCGTAGAATGTGAAAAGCGGAAAGTGCATAATATTTCGCGATTCGTTTTCCATTGCAGGTCCATGTCGTTTCCGTTGTCAGTTTGGTTTCGGGCCCCCTCTTGGGACCCCCTGTCTGTCCAATGGTTCGCTCGCTCATCGCGCCGAAGTCGCCGCGGCGCGAGCAGTCGGGGCCGGCGCCCGCCGGCGACGAGCTCGCGCATGCCCGCAGGGCACTCGCGAGAGCAGACAAAGCAAAGATGGCGAGCATGAAGGCCGGTATCAAGCACTAACGCAAGGCCAAGACGACGATATGATTGCCATTCCAGCGGAGAGGGAGGCGTTCTTCGACAAGTCCACGGTCGCGCAGCTTCGGTCGAAGGAGGCGACGACCGCCATCGCGTCGACCCGTCAGACCGGCGCGAAGAAGCGCAGGCGCCGCGACATCCATTTGTGCTCCAAGGAGACCATGGACGGCAAGGTCGGCGCGGTGAAAACCGACCATCGGCGCCATGCCGGCCTGCTAATAGCCCGCCCCGACGCGCACGCGGGGTCAACCCATCCAGATCGCGTCGAGCGGCCGCGCCCAGTCCATTGGGAGAGCATGTCCGACGAGGAGCTCAAGCAGTTCTGGATCGACGCGGGGACCGAGGCAGCCGACGACGCGGGAACTCTCCGAGATTCAGCAGCGCGGCATTACCTCGGAAGGCGTTGGCTCGCTGGTAGTAGCGCCTGCCTCGGGAGGTGCACTTGCCCGGGTGAACGTCGAGGCAGGGGCGGCCCCGTCGAGCAGGGCCGTCCGCGCGGCCGGGCGAGGTCCAGCGGGACTGCAGCAGCAGCCTTAAAGACTCCCGGGACAAGCTGTCGCTGCGCAGGCAGATCCACGACAGGGCGACGGGCGAGGCTCGCGCCTATGAGGCCCAGTTCCCCGCCGACCTGGCCGCGCACATCAGAGACACGCCCGAGCTGAAATGGACCCTCGAGAAGACGGCCATCTTCGAGACCATGTCCGAGGAGGTCACCAACGTCGTCGAATCGATCGACGCCGTCCGCGAGATGGGCGATAAGCTGCGCGGGCGGCGCGTCAAATCGCAGTGGAAACGGCCGAGACATGATTGCTTCTCGAGAGGCGCCAAATTCACATTGACTGTTCTGCTCCCGGGTGGCATCTCGCATGCGCTGCGCGGGTATTTAGCGCGTGAGCCAGTGTCAATTCCAGAGTTGATGCTCAAGCCTTCGCAGAGACACAACGCAAACAATCACATGACGCGAATCGCATCAAACGTTATACAAGTGCGACCTGAAGTCGCACCCAATTCAATCGCTCGTCAATGGCATGGCCGTCGTAAATATTATTGCTGCCAGCGTCCACCGCCAGCATCACCACCACCACCACCATAAGCATCATGATTATTCGGACCGTTGGCATCGTTATAGCCATTGCCATCGTCATCGCCATCGCTAGCACCATCAACATTGCCAGCATCATATCAATAATCATCAGCAACATCATCGTCTTCGCCATCGACATCACCGTCAGAACCATTAATTTGACCGGCCGCATGGGGGTCTAGGGTTTGAGGCAACCGCCAGCTTGCGCGATATTTCCCTTGGGTAGTCGGGGAGCACGGGGGCCTGGAACAGACGCCAGGGACAGACGCCAGCCTCATGCAATCACCGGCATAGGCAGAGTCGCGATACCGCGGGCTCCAACGCCCGCGCGATAAACGATTGCTCAGTCTAGAAAGTTATGCATCAACCGAAACGTCTAGACAGGTGCAACCCCCAACGTCGACCCACCCCGCATCCCGCCGACTTTCCGTGGCTGTTTCGGTTTCGCTGCAGGTTTTGACCCGATGGCAGTGTTCCCGCTTTCTGCACTTATTCGCACGCGCGCGCTTCCAATGGCGAGGGGGGGTTCTTTGAAGCGAAGACTGGGGAGCCCGTCGAAGGGCCCTGGCGGAGCTGGCGGGGATTGTAGCCGGACCAGGTCTGGAGGTGGGGCTTCACGGAGGAGCCGAGCGGACATCGATGCCAGCGCATGCGATAATCAAAATTGCGATGGGCCGCGCCGCGACGAGCACAGACGGCAGCGGGCGAAAGGCGATCTCAGATCAGCGCAGGTGCAATCATTAGCTCAGAGGGCTCATCTATCGGGGGCAAGCGGCGCTGAACGAATAGCGACATCAGTAACTCATGGCAAGTGCAGTTGAAGTTTGTGGAGAGGCATTCTTCATTGATATATAAAGACGAATGAAGAAATCCCTCGGCTGGCCCAGTGGCGCCCCTCCGATTGACAGCGTATTGGGTCGCGCAAAGTCAGGTGGCCCACATACTCCATGGCCAGTTCTGTGTCCAGAGGTATTCGGTCACAGACCAGAGATATCGGGTATCACGGTTTGTCCGTGCCTGAAAGCATGCGTTGAATTTTGGGGTTCCTTGAGAAACGCCCCGTTCGTGCAGCGGCATCGAGCGTTTCCAGAAGGCAACTGGAGAAACACCGTTCCCTTGGGATGCCATCGCTCGCCCTTCACTGGGACAGCTTGATCGCGCGCGGTACGACGATGAAAACAATAGTTCTTCTCGCTGCGATTCAGAAAAACAAGAGCTCTGCGAAGGTGCGCTTGACGACCTCCTTCGCGCTTTCTCACGGTCGGTAAATGTCTAACCATCTGGAGAAACGCCCCTGGCCCAAGGAGATCTGCAGTTTTGCGCGCAGATAATGTTTCTTCGATCGCGGCAAGCTCCAGAACAAATGTGCCCTTGTCTGCCAGGCTGCTTCATCGCATGACAACCCCGATGTGTGGACTCGCGTTGATAGAGATGCTATGTTGCGTGCGTCTCGTTTCGCATGTGAAAGCCTCTGGAAACACATGTGCTCGCGAGGCCTGCAATTTCCAATTTTGATGGTTTGTGCGCTAGGGTGCTGATTCGACTGTGTCACAGTGGATTTGTTGCACACAGTGGATCAAGACGCAGCGTCACACAGCAAAGGTGCAGCATTTGGGCATGTAGCTCTTGTCTGCAATTCGCTACTCGAGTGGCTCATTTTGCCAGCCATCTGAAAGACGGCCACGCGACCGCTGGCGTCACATCGAACATACAAGAAGAGTTAAATAAAGAACGAATCAACTAGTCTTGAAGCCCATGGGCAATGCTTAAAGCGAAAGCAGCTGCAACGGGACATCTAGCGCAATGCGCCCTCCTGTTGGTGCGGCAGTTCCGCGACCAGGATCACCCTGCGCATGGACAGCGCGATCTCATGGCACCAGGGTTTTGCGAACTACAGGTCGGTTTCTAAGGCGCAATTTCACGCGAGTCTCAGTTTCTGGCGGGGGCAACGAGGAGGCGATTGACAGATGATTCACTTATGTGTTTGTTTTTGTTTGTGTAGCTGGCCAACCTTGCTCGTGCGGGGATTCTGCGGGCGCGGGGACTTTCTCCCACGTTGCATTTGCTGTTGCATCTCGTGCAGGATCAGATGAAACAAATGCCAACATCCTCCCAAACTACGGACAATCAATGATTTCGGTTTCTTCGGGCCCTCCTGGAGGACCTCTTGGAGGCCTCTTGGGCCGTCTTGAAGGCTCTTGGGGGCCTCTTGGGCCGTCTTGGGCAATATTGAGGCCATATTAGGCTGTCTTGGATGCATGTTGGGCCGTCTTGGAGGCATCTTGGGGTCATCCTAGCCCTCTTGGAGGCGACCTTGGCCGTCTTGGAAGCCTCTTGGGGCCGTCCTGAGGGCCTCTTGGGCCGTCATGGGGCCATCTTGGAGGCCTCGTGTGCGATCTTAGGGCGATATTGGGGGCCTCTTGGGCCGTCTTGAGCTGTCGGAATGCCGAGAAGGAACAAATGCCAACATCCTTCAAAAACCTTAGGGAAATCAGTGCTTTGGGCCTTTTCGGGCCCTCGTGGAGGACCTCTTGGAGGCCTCTTAGGCCGTCTTGGATGCTGCTTGATCGAACTTGGAGGTATCTTGGAATCTCTTAGGCCTCTGCTCTCTCCGCGCGTTCCGCCGGGCGCCCAGTCTGGGGGATGGCGCCCGGACGGGATTAGGACGAGGACTAATCCGTTTTGGAACGCTCTCAGATGGCCGCGGGGCCCGAGACATCTTCCAGAGCCGCGGCATTCCAGAGCTTTCCGATGTGTCATCACCCGATATTGTCTTAATCCGGGCCTGGTCTTAGTCTGGGCATCTGGGCTCTGTCTTGGGGCCTCCATGGGGTTAACGGCCGAAGAACTGTATAACATAAACTTTTGCGCCGCCGGGGACGCCTGCCCGGGGCTGTCGGAGAGTTCAGCTACCCCTACGGTGGCACACCAGGGCATAAACTTCCCGGCCGCCCCGGCACAGGCGCCCCTGGTGACGGACAAACGTTTCCCCTGACGAGGGTCGAGGGCCGAGGCCGCGCCGCGCGAGGCCGCGGGAGGAGGAGGCGGAGGAGGAGGAGGAGGAGGAGGAGGAGGAGGAGGAGGAGGGGGCAACGCGGCGATCGGGGCAGGCTGGCGGAGGGCGGCCCGCGGCCAGCCGCGGAGGTGTGCGTGGACCTTCTGCCGCGACCGCCCGCTGGCCGAGGCCACGCTGCGGGAGGCCCTGGCGGAGCTCGCGAGCCCGCGCCCCGGCTCGCCGGGTGGGCCCCTTGCATCGGCCCCGCGCAGAGCGGGGTGCTGCTTGGGAGCGACATGGGGGATCGAAGGCTGACATGAACGTAAAAGCTCGGAGGTCCGCGCGGATTTCTCGGATCCGCGCTGGACCCCCCTGGCAGCGCCTCCGGCGCCGCCCCTGGCGCGCTCAGCGCGCCAGGGCGAGGGTCCAGCGCCGATCCGAGAAATCCGCGCGGACCTCCGAGTTTTTATGTTCATGTCATGTTTCGTTCCCCTATGATCTGGCGCAGAGGCGGATACGGAGGGGGGGAGGCTCCTTGGGCTCACCCCTGCTTCTCAGCAGGCGCGGGCCTTGTCTGCACATGTCGGGCCGGCGCCCTCTAGGAATCGGCCTCCTGAGAAGCCTTCCTTCCCTACCCCTGCTTCCTTGTGCGCGCCGCCAAGGTCGGGTCCCAGAGGACGAGAAGGAGGAGGAGGAGGAGGAGGAGGAGGAGGAGGAGGAGGAGGAGGAGGAGGAGCAGGTCCAGAAAGAAGGAGTACTTCCGGTGGGGCTGCCTGGTCCCCTCGTTTTGCCCGCTGTGCGGTTCTGGGCCTGGCCATGGGTCTTGGTCCTTTCTCTCCAGGTGAATTTAGATTGCAAGGGCCGCGTCTGTAGCGGCAGCATGCGCGCTGCCTGGTGGCAGACTCGAGGCACCACCGAGACGAGAGAAATTGGAGGAGGGGGGAGGGAGTGGGGAGGGGGGAGGAGAGGGGACGAGGAGGAGGAGGAGGCGGAGGAGGAGGAGGAGGAGAAGGAGAAAGGAGGAGGAGGACGAGTAGGACGAGGAGGAGGAGGTGGAGGAGGTGGAGGAGGAAACATAAACAGGATGAGGAGCAGGAGGAGGACGACGAGTAGGGAGGAGGAGGAGGAGGAGGAGGAGGAGGAGGAGGAGGAGGAGGAGGAGGGAGGAGGAGGTCGACGACGACGACGAGGAGGAGGAGGAAGAGAAGCAGGATGATGATGATGCTGATGATGCTGCTGATGCTGATGATGCTGATGATGATGCTGATGATGATGACGATGCTGGTGATGATGCTAATGCTGATGCTGATGCTGATGCTGATGCTGATGCTGATGCTGATGCTGATGCTGATGCTGATGGAGGAGGAGGAGGAGGAGGAGGAGGAGGAGGAGGAGGAGGAGGAGGAGGAGGGCGGCGGGATCGGCGTGATCGGCCTCAGACCCAGACATTCAGCGTCCTGAAAATCGAGGGGGGACTATTGCACAAACATGCGCGCTCGGAGCTCCGCGCGATTTTCTTGGTTTGTGTTTATGCTGTTCTTTTTCTTTTTTGGGAACCAGGACGGCGATTGGTCCAAATGTTCGGCCCTGGGGAGGCGGTCAGGATTTTGGGGTGGAACGTTTGAAAAACAGGTCGTCGCATGCCTGGGGAAGTGCCTGGGGCAGTGCCGAAGGTCGAGCAGTGGCGAAGCGTCTTGGCCATCCGGCAGGCCCACCAAGTCATGTTGTAAGATCCTGTGTGCGGTTCTTGCGGAGTGCCATGTGAACATCGATGGCTGAGACGGCATTGTGTTGATACGTCGATGTTCAAAGAGCATTGTCTTGGTTGTTCGAACACTCGTTTTTTTCTAGGCAGCATTCGTTCTAAGAACACTTCGTGGTAGGCCAGCAGGAATGATGGGACGGTCGGTCCCTACTGAAAGCAGGGGCCGCCCCCTGCCCCCCCCGCCCATATCTGCGCAGGCACGTCATTCGCCTTGGCAGGGAAGGCCGTGCTTCCCCGCTTTGCTTCCCCGCTGGCGCCGCTGCTCTTGACCTCATCGACTCCCAGGGGGGCGCCGGCGTCGTCGTCGCGTCGTCTTTGTCGTCGTCTTCGACGCCTCTCGCCTGCTTGCTGCGCTGCCCGACTGAGGGCGGCACCCGGCCCTGCGCGCAGAGCTCGCGGACCCACTGGAGCTCTTCACGGCCACGCAGCAGGCCCTGCTCCCCTCGGCCGCCCGCGCCTCTCCGATGCCCAAGGCTCCGAGGTCCGAGACGCCTCTCCCAGAGGTGTGCGGTTAGGACGAGGAGAAATCCGTTCCGGAGCGTTCCAGAACGCTCTAAGAGCGTTCAGGTACGCTCTGAGAAGGCCGCGGCGCCCGAGACATCCTCCAGAGCCGCCGGGTCTCAGAGATTCTCTATTTATCCTCACCCGATTGTATCCTCGTTCTGGCCTCGTCTTAGCTGCCGGTACGGGATTATCTTCGGTCTCTCTGGGGCCCTCCACGGGCCTAAGGATCAGGGGCGGCCCAACCGACCCCTAGCAAGCCATCCCTTTCCGTGATGTCCCCCTCGCCTCGAACCCAGGCGTATGTGTGCGACCAGAGGGAAGATTGCAAGGCGAGGGTGACGTCAGAGAAGGGAATTGTTTGCCAGAGGTCAGTTGGGCCGCGCCCGGAAGGACCGTCAAAGAAAGACTCGGGACAGAAAGCCGGCCCCACAGTCAAGACGCTGAAATAGTGAACGTTTTGGGCTCGAAAGGGGCACGCTGTTCCTTATGTCATTCCGTGGTTGTTCCTCTGATTCTCCTCGTGCACCCAGGCTCTTTTGGTGCCAACAGGGGTGGGTCGTTCCTTACGGCCGGACCGGGGTGTAAGATGGAGGTGGGTTCGGAGAGGGTGCCCTCATGGTTTTCGTTGTTCTTGGATGTTTGAATGCATCCTTGGGAGGGTACCCTTGGATGTTCTGTGCGTTTTGACCGACAGAGGGTTTCATCTTCCAGAAGGATGCTCTTCTGGCCTTGGTCCGACTGTATGTAGCGTTCCCTATTGCAGCAGCCTTCCTGTAGGGAAGTTGTCGAGACCTCCACGGCACCCCGCATCGAAACAGCAGGAGCGCTGGATGTCGGGGCTGGCCGCCACCTCCGGCCGACGCCCACACACCTACACACACACATATATATATATATATATATATATATATATATATATATATTCGGGAACGTTGCGCGGATGCCTGGGCGCTGCTCGGTCGTCACACGGCCATTCGGGATGTCCCAGTCGATGGTCTCACTGCTGGAGGGCCCGAGGCTCGATTCAATGCTCTCGGGGGCCGCTGGGGCAACTGAGTTGGGAGAAAACAGCGGGCCCGGGCAACTGCTAAGAAATGCGCTGGGAGTTGGTCAAGCCCCGCGATGTCTCGAGCTGTCCGCCGCCGCCACTGAGCGCGGCGAAGAAGGCACTTGCCCGCGCCACTGACTCCGCGCCCGGTTGCGATCGCATGCGCTACGCGCGTGGGCCGCCAATGATTATGAAGCGAAAGCCCCTGGACGCGATGCTCGCCGTCTTTAGCGGCCGCGCGCCGCGCGCCAGCGAGAGCGCGACGCTTCGAGCTTTTCCTCCAAGAGGCGAACGCGATGGTGACGCGCAAGTAGAAGAATGCGATCGCGATGCGAACCCTTCGCGGGCCCTGGGCCTCAGGGGCACGAGCTGTAATATCATCGCCGAGACGGTCAACTATGCGACCGGGAGGCCGTTGGATGCCGTTGTATCCCCATCGCAACGAGGCTCCATGCGAGGCCGTAAGTTTGCCCTGAACGTGGCTGAGGTCGACACTGTTGCTCGCGCATAATCGCGGCGACCTGAAGCGGATGAGGAGTGCCCCGTACCATGTGCGCTGGCTTATGGGCATGCTTTCCCTCGCTTACTTATATCAGCAATAGTTGCCATTGGTCCTGCAGCGAATGGTCTGCCCGCCTGCCGCGCTCACCTTCGTCGACATCTTAAGCCCCGCCATTGGGGGGGGGCCATGCCGCGTCGAGGTCAGTGCACCCATGCTTTCTGGACTCCCTCGGGCATCATCCTGGGGGGCGCGCTGTCGAGCTCGCTCTTTGCCGCTGCTCCCACTCGTACCCCGCTCGACCTTTTTCGCGACGACCGAGGCTCCAAAGTTTGCGGTCAATCAGGCGCGCGCGGACGACGTAGGCGGGGTCCTCAGCAAACTTCAGACTGTTCGGGCACTCGTGCGCATCGTGAAAGTTTTCGCACGCGTCGCTCACCCGTGGCTTAAGCCGCCTAAATGTTTCTTGGCGCCAGTGGCGCCGGCGCTCGCACCTGCGCTGGCATCGCAAGTTCCAGAATAGATCCAGCTTGGAATCCAGTGCCCCTCTGTTGTGAGGCAGTTCTATAGGAGGGGGGTGCAGAGGGCAGGGTGTTTACACAGTTGGGAGGAATCAGTGAATTCAGCATGGGGCGGGCTTGAAGTGCCTCGAAAATACGCGCACCCCAACCGTCAGCATCTGGTATACATGTGGATCACATTTATGGTGTTTTCCGTCGTCCTCCTCCTTGCTCCCTCGTCCTCCTGTCTCGCCCCCTGGACGGGGGTCGAAGCGTCCGCGGCTCGGGCGGGAGAGCGCCCATTGCCCCCCCTTGCTCCCCGTTCCGTTTTTTTCTTTGCCTCCCCGCTCCATCATCCGTCGATTCACCTCGTCCTCCCTCCTTGCTCGAAGGCAAGCGAGGTCCCTGGAGCCGCGTGCCGGCGTTGGCGTTATACCGCCCGTTCGATGTCCGAGCACAGCGACGTAACCAAGTAGAGGGTGCCAAAGCAAGTTGTCGGGGAGCACTTCAAGCGTCGGCGGCTGCGGCCGCCAAACACAAACGCATCGCGAGCATGTGAAAGCGAAATTATACATGCCCCCGGCAAAGCCCACCCCCGTGCCAGCGCAGCTGTTTGTATGGCGACGCTTGAGGTTATGCTTGTTCAGAGGTCCGTGACATGTGACACTTCTCGTGTTATCGGACTGCTGCGGGGCCTTGCGGGTCCATCGGGGCCCTCTAGGGACGTATTCGGGACAGATTCGGCCGCCTTGGCGCCGCAGCCCACGGTGGCCGCCCTGGGCCAGGGAACTGTGTATTCGCAGCCCCCCCGGGGCCGCCCTGGGCCAGGCAAGTGTGTATTTGCATTCCTCCCGGGCTGGGCATGTCGATCTCGATTCTGGTTTGGCAAAGTAGGGGCACCTTCGAGGTGGCGAGCGTTCACCTTTTTGAAATGCACAGATCAATGTGTGATCTGTGTGCACAGATTGCGTCTTCAACTGTGTAATCGCGTGCGCGGGTCCACTGTTTACACACATCGTGGTATGATCTGTGTACACAGATCTTGTTCCCATCTGTGTATTTGGAGCGTGCTCCTCGCGGGTGGTGGCGATTGGGCGGGGACATTCGCATTTCTCTCGGCTGGTCCAGGGGGGGCGTTCTACGCTCGCGAGATACACAGTTCGCGTGTCAAACTGTGCATTTGCCCCGCGCTACTCGCTGGAGTCGCCACTGGGTGGGAATTTCCGTGGATCTCCCGGCTGGTCCAGGAGGGGGCCGTGGTTTGGGAGGGCAGACGGCGCGGGGGTCAGGGATGAGGGGGCATGGGAGGGAAGGGATTCGAGAGGGGGGGTGGCGAAGGGGCCGGGGGATGAAAGGGGGAGGAGGAGAGGGGCGTAAATGGGCCCAGGAGGAGTTGCAGCCTCGGTTTCAGCATCACGGGGACGAGGAAAGTGAGGGTGGGCAAACGGACGGGGGATGCGCTGCACCAGGGCGCAGGGGAGGGGAGGAGGGCAAGGATACGGATGATGGGGGAGCGCGCAAGGCGGAGGAGGACGAGGAGGGACGACATGAAAGGGCATTGGAGAGCGCGAAAACAAGGAGCGGGAGGGGTAACAGGAGGGGGAGGAATCGCACGGACATGGGGAGGATGAGGTGAAGGCACGGGGATGCGGGAGGAGGCGGGGGACGGGGCATGAGGGTGAGGCAGTTGCCAGCTAACGCTGAGTTCATCGGTGTTTCGCGTGTCCGTGCACCCCCCCAGCAACTAGTTACCGGTTGCAGAACTGCGCTATTTGGGTAGTCGTGCGCGACGTGCGTCTAGGCCAAAGGCTCGCGTCTATGACATTCCTTAGCGTCGCGTTGATGCCGTCCTTCTTCAACAAACTGCATATGCACAGATTGGCTGAATCTGTGTTTCAACGTTTGCCTCATAGCTTCCTCTATAGTAACAGACCAACGACGGAATCCAAGATCCAGCTTTGCTCACGGCAGTGGACGTCCTTCAAGGTGGCCGGGAAGCTGCTCATCTGGGCATGGCTGTGGGCCCTGGAGCGCCCCCCGAGGATCCTTGGAGCGGGCCGAGCCGTAAGTCCCAGTCCAGGGCACAAGCGATTGGCCACGGCGTGCAAGCCTTTTCTGTATCGGGGCAGTGGTATCAGACTCGGGCTTTGCCTCTTCTCAGCCACGCGAGCCAACACCTCACCCCACTCTGGCGCGTGCTGGACCTCGAGATTGGAGCTCTGGCGTCTGCGCTGCGGGTGCCGATCGGCACATTCAACGCTGCTGCCTGTTATTTCCTGCGCGAATGGAACGTCCCGATGGGCTTGCCCGATCGCACTGCTGCCCTGGCGCGTATGGCCTTGAGTACTGTCCCTGAGTTTCGCCATATTTTGGATTGGCTGGATTGGTGCACCAACGACGGCGAAGGTCGTGATCAGTGTCGTGTCAGTGTCTTCCCCCTTGCTCGTCGATATCCGTCTCGCTGGAAATGTCCCGCAGGTGTCGAATTCCTCGGGGACCCCGCAGCTGTTGCCCAGAGTGTCTCTGGTCGTCACGCTGTTGCAACCGTTTCGCGACAACAAATACAGCGAGCGGCGTTCCAAGCTTGCTGTGCACTGCTCCCAGACCCGACAGTCCCAAATGTATTCCACCAGTGGCTGAAGAAGTGGTGGCCTGACCGTGAGATAGAGATCCGAGCTGCTGGTTTCGAGCCTAGTCGTTTGCTCTTGCAAGCCGTGCCATCGTCGTTGGCTTGGGCGTGGTTGAGGACGGCTGCAGGAGGGTGGATGGTATCACGTCTTATTCTGACTGAGAAGGCAGAGGGTTTTTGCATATTTGGTTGCCCAGCATGGTTAGATCGCCAGTTCCACTGTGCCTCCTACCCTCGCCTCTCCTCTGCGATCTCGGCCGTTGTTTCGTAACCCCACGCTCGATTCGGACCGTTCTAGAACGATGGGATATAACGCAATGCACCATCCAGGAAGTAGAAGACATACATGTGTCGCCGTGCGCATCTCTCACACAGTCCGTCCGTACTCCCCGGGACAGTGCCTCCCATCCGCTGCTAGGGCAGCGCTCAGGTAGCCACGGTTGACTCGGCCTGATCTCGGCGGCGGTGCTGCACGCGCGTAGGGGAGGAAGTTTCTCTCTTGCTGTGGTGTCCTCTCCTCCTCCTCCTCCTCCTCCTCCTCCTCCTCCTCCTCCTCCTCCTCCTCCCCCTCCCCCTCCTCCTCCTCCTCATCCTCCTCCTGCTCCTCCTCCTCCTCTTCCTCCTCCTCCTCCTCATCCTCCTCCCTCTCCTCCTCCCCCTCCCCCTCCTCCTCCTCCTCCCTCCCTCCTCCTCCTCCTCCTGCTCCTCCTCCTCCTCCTCTTGCTCTGATCTCCTTTCCCCCTCCCCCCTCCCCCCTGCGCTGCGGCCCGCGCCCGACGTGCAGGCGCTCGCCGCCCTCGCGATGAGGCAGCGGCACGGCCGCGGCGGCAAACCGCACGAAGCTCGCAGGAGCCGCTCCGAGGGAGGGCGCGGCCCCAGGACGTTCTTCCGATCCTCGAGAAGGAGGCGGAGGAGGAGGAGGAGGGGGAGGTGGAAAATGAGCAGGAGGAGGAGCAGGAGGAGGAGGAGGAGGAGGAGGACGACGACGACGGGGACGACGGCGGCGACAATGACGGCGACAACGAAGACGAGGACGAGTACGGAAAGGAGGACAAAGAGGTGGAGGAGGAGGAGGAGGAGGAGGAGGAGGAAGGAGGAGGAGGAGGGAGGAGGAGGAGAGAGGAGGAGGAGGAGGAGGAGGGAGGGGAGGAGGAGGGGAGGAGGGGAGGAGGAGGAGGAGGAGGAGAGGAGGAAGGAGGAGGAGGAGAGGAGGAGGAGGAAGGAGGAGGAAGAGGAGGAGGAGGAGAGGCGGAGGAGAAGAGGAGGTGAGGAGCAGGAGGAGAGGAGAGGAGGAGGACGACGAGGAGGAGGAGGAGGAGGAAGACGACGACGACGACTACGACGACGGCGGCGACGACGACGACGACGAGGACGAACAGGAGTAGGAGAAGGACGAGGAGGAGGAGCAGCAGCATGAGCATGAGCAGGAGCAGGTGCAGGAGCATGGGCAGGAGCAACAGGAAGACAGCGACAGTGATCGGTCACAACATATCAGTCATTCCGAACACTCCCCTCGCCCCTTTTCCAGCTGCCTTCAAATGTTTTCTTTTTTGTGGAGTGGTGGTAGGGCTTGGATCTGACGGGGAAAGATCCTTCCCGAAGCCGTTTGGTTACTCACAGCAAAACGCGCGCTCGGCCCGCCCGGCCGGCCCGCCCGCGCCGCATACAGACACACACACACATCATTACATTGTTGAAAGTCGTTCCGATTAACGGACTCATCTAGCCACGTATTCGCCAGTTCGACGTCGGAGGTTAGCTTCTCGTGAGCTACAAGAGAAGAGTCAACAACCAACGCAACCGATTAACATCATTGATGTGTATCCAAGGGGTGATGGCGACTGCGCTGAAGGTACAAAAAACACGCGATTGTCATTAGCATTGGTACCGCATGCAATGACAGCGGGACACCGTCACCGCCGAGCCGCAAAGGACTACAACGCTGAAGGGAATCGCGTGCCGAGCCCATTGTACATCGCGCAAGGTACAAGATAATTCCTAGGAAACCACAGCACGCGACAGGGCACCGTGCACGAACAACTTCTGCGCGCTCTCACTAGATGCCAAAGGGCGCGTCCAGCGGGCGCAGCCTGGAGGCAACTCACGGCCCCAACTCGCCTGGGTAACGTCGGTACGGTCTAGCCTGCGCGCAACGCAACAGCAAGCGCAACACAAGCAATGGGCGACCCCAGACTACCGCCCCGCCCAAGGGTGCGGTGCGATGGCGGAAAGACCTTTAAACGTTTATGGTTACCGCTTTTCTTCTGTCGTAAATCAAAGGACATTTGCTGAATTCGACGACGTATAGGCAAAATGCTATATCACTGCCTCTGGTTGTTCACACAGTTGCGGTTTGCGTTTGCTCAGTGCATCATCCTTCCGTCGTCTCCCATGCCACATTTCGTGGCAAACACTTCTGGCCTTCAGGGCGAGACATTCAAATTTTATGGCGCAGCAAATGATCAGCGCACCGCCCTTGACAGCAGTTGATATTTGGCGGTGCCGGGATATGTCTTGCTGAGGAGGTGGAGGAGGTGGAACGTTCACATCGTTGCTGCTTGCGTTTGCCCAACGCATCTCCTAGTGTTGCCTCTCATCTGCCACGCTCCGTCACAAGCCCTCCTGACCTACAGGGCAGGACCCTCTCTTGTACGCAACTGCATTCAGTGCACCGCCGTTGACAGCGGCTGACGTTCGGCGGGGTCAGGATTGTCTTGCATGGGAGGGTGAATCAAATACTTGCCTTCAGCGTGCAGCCCTACAGACCACGAGCTACTCACGAGCCACTGTTTGGTCACATTCCGAGACCCTTTAGCCCAACGGCCAGGGCGAGCCCTTTTGGTTGATTGGGCAACCTTACAGGCCAGCCTGCAGGCATAGATTCAGCCGCTCAGGCCAACTACAGTCCAGCCAATCTGGCAAGCCTACCAGCCGAGCCCCTTCAGATTCCACGGGTGCGTCCTTAGCCCGAAAAGAACGTACAAAAAACACGGCGCTTTGGGTCCAAGTGTGTTTGGGGTGAGCCGTAAATCATTGTTCGGCGACCCAAGAACCGCCTCGATTGCCTTGTTCACACCTCCAACCTGGCATACTGAGTATCACCTCTTCTCGTTCCTCTCTTCACATATTCCTTACATTTCCCCTCCCTCTTCTCCCAACTCCACTTCACAAGGGCAGGCGCCCACGTATTGCACGGATCACATGTTACGTTCAGCCAATCATCTTCCGCAGACGCTTGCCACTGCAGGCCAGCCATACACCCCAGCCTGACCTGCACACTTTGGCGGGACCCGTCACACTTTGAAGCCCACACGCAGGAGCACATCTTTCAGCAGACGAACAGATGATCACATCATCATGCAATGCCCCCCTCCTCCTCCAGGTCCACTTCACCAGTGTCGCAGCCCAAGTGTTGCATGGACCCAATGCTACGTTCAGCCTGCCATTTTCCACAGGCGCTGGCCACAGCGGGCAAGCCATATACAAACCAGCCTAATGTGCAAATTTTGGCGACACCCGCCACATTTTGAAGCTCATACCCAGGGGCATAGCTGTCAGCAGACCAGCCATCCGCTCACATCACGGTTTTTTTTGCACATTCCTATTCCATTACCCCCTGCTCCGGTTAGTTCACAGATCCTCTTGTTCTTTGGTTTCACTTTACAAGGATCGCTGCCCAAGAATTTCACGGATCCTCTACGACGTTCAGCCAGCCATATTTCACAAGCATTGGCCGCATAAGGCCAACATTCGACAGGCCAGCCTAATTTGCACGATTCCGCGGCACCAACCACACTTTAATTTCATACGCAGGAGCATCCCGTCACCATCTTACTTTGCCCTTCTCCTCCTCACAATACCCTCATTATTGCCCCCTTTTTTCTCCAGCTCCACTTCCCAAGGGTATCATCCCAAGTTTTGCACTGATCTTATGCCACGTTCAGCCAGCCATACTTCACAGGCCTTAGAGAAGGCCAGCCAGATACAGGCCAGCCTAATCGGCACACGTCGGGTGCACCTTCGCATTTGTTTGCTCGTGCACTTCTCTTCACGCAGCCCGCACTAGAAGGCCACACGTACTTGGCCTCAGCTAGCAGATCGTGTTTTGAGGCAGCGTGCACCTACAAGTAGCATAGTTGAGCTTTACGGATCAGAGGTTATGGAATTCTCATTATGGAATTTGCTAGCCTCATGTACCTGGCGGGCGCCTACTAACTGTTCTGCGCGTGGCCGCCAATCTTCTCTTCCCGCCTGCCCTGCGGCGCCCGCAAAGTAAATTTGAGAACGTCAAAAGGACGAGGGCGAGGAGGAAGAGGAGGAGGAGGAGGAGTTGGAGGAGGAGGAGGACGAGGAGCAAGAAGGGGAGGAGGAGGAGGAGGAGAGGAGGAGGAGGAGGAGAGGAGGAGGAGGAGGAGGAGGAGGAGGAGGAGGAGGAGGAGGAGGAGGAGGAGGAGAAGGAGGAGGAGGAGGAGGAGGAGGAGGAGGGGGGAGGCGGAGCAGGACGAGGAGAAAAAGAGAAGGAGGAGGAAGAGGATGAGGAGGAGGAGGAGGAGGAGGAGAAGGACGAGGGAGGAGGAGGAGGTCAGGGACGGCGACGACCTCAAGGAGGAAGACGCCGAGGAGGAGGAGGAGAGGAGGAAGGAGGAGGAGGAGGAGGAGGGAGGAGGAGGAGGAGGACGATGAGGAGATTTGGGAGGGGGTGAGGGCATCTGGTGCTGCCTCCCTGCCTCCATCCCTCCCCGGACGTCCCTGGGGCCTCTGGTTCTCCTCGCTGGCCCCGCGCCGCGCCTGGACGCGTCAGTTCCAGCGGTTCTGGCTCAGCGCGTTGCTCCGCCGGTTCTGGCCCACCGCGCTTCGGCGCGACCCGCCATCCTCCTCCTCCTCCTCCCCCCCTCCTCCTCCTCCTCCTCCTCCTCCTCTCCTTTTCTCCTCGTCCTGCTCCGCCTCCCCCCTCCTCCCCTCCTCCTCCTCCTCCTCCTCCTCCTTCTCCTCCTCCTCCCCCTCCTCCTCCTCCCCCTCCTCCTCCTCCTCCTCCAACAAGCGTCAACGCCCCGAGTTGTTTCAATCCCCCCGCCCCGCGGAGCCGAGCGACGCGCCATCCGCGTGCAAGGCACAGCGCGTCGCCGGGGCCGCCGCCGCGGCACGACGAGCAATGCAATGGGTCCCGACCGAAGTCGGTCGGCTCCCGTGTCCTCCCCCCCCCTTTCCCCCGCTTTTCTTCCCCCCTGACTTTTTCCTGACCTTCTCCCAATTTCTCCGCCCTCCAGCCCGCGGTTCCAGACAGGTCGCGGGGATGGTCCCTCGGCCTGAAGAATCCCTGAAGGGCGAAGGGGCTTGCCACCTGGTGCACGTCCACAGTGCTTGTTCGGGCCGGCCCCATTTGACACGAAGAAACCTCTGGATGGGGCAGCACCGCCCCCTGGCGTGCCCTGCACTCATTCTACGCCATCTCCCCTTCGGCCTCCTTCCATCCCTTCGCCCCATTCCCCTCCCTGTCCGCCGTCACTCGACTCTCTTTTCCTGCCGATTCCCACCCTCTTCTCATCATCTGTGGCGCCGCGGCGTCAGACGCCTGAGTTCCACGCAGTTTTTGCGCAGCTGGGGTGATTCCAGATCCACGAGGAATGGGCTTCTAATCCAATTTCGAGGCATGGCAGCGGGGTCTATCCCGTGTGCTAGATCCGTCACGGCCGTTGGCGTAAACGAGCAATTGGGCAGCCCTGAGGGTGTGGCTTGTTGTCGGCCAACTGCTGGATCATGAACTTCGCTACGGTCAGAACAGTCTCCAATGATTGTCTGATGACTGCCGCATCCTTACAGATAGCCTAGCTACTGTTGAGCCTGTTGCGCGCGTGGTAATCCTTCTCATCCTCCTCTTCCTCCCTCCTGCTCCTCCATTTCGTTTCCCTCCTAGGACACCCCTCGTCGCCCAACCAGACATGCCAGCAGGGCGCGCTTGCTGGTTCGCCTGGGACCTCCTCACCGCTTCTGACACTCAAGTTACAATTCAGAGCTCGAGTTACACAGTGTTCTGGCGAGTGCGTGGATCGTGTTCGTTCTGATATCGTTTTGCAGCAGGGGCGGAATGGAGACAGAATGAGGGAAAACGAACACTTAACGAAAACGGGAAACGCTGTTTAGTTCGAGCCCTGCTTGAAAGACCTCTCCCCGCCATTGCGGATAAGAGTGAGGGGGGGGCACCTTTGCTGCCTTACCAGGGTTGCGGAGCTCGATCGCTAATGTCTAAGAAGCCGCTGCGGGCGCTTTCTTCTTTCCGGAGCGACCAGCACGCCGCAGGCACCGATTTCTTCCAAAGGAGGGAAAATGCACCGATAAAGCTACACTTGCGTTGCTTTCGCCTTCTCGGGCCTCCTGGGAGGCCCTTGTCACCACGGCTGGGGTCGCTTCGAAATTCCAGTCGGCACGCACCCCAGGATAAGCCCTGGGGAGTACAGGAGGGGCTCAGGAGTGGCTGCGGTTTCCGGGCCGCTCCTTGGATCTAGGTCGGGGAACTTGCTCGGAGCCGAGGCTCGCCGTGACCAGAAAAGCCCCTTCATTCCATATTTGGCGTTCCTTCTGGTAGGACGTTGACTGTATCAGTATCGGTGCCTTTTGGTGCGTGTCGTTGCGGTGGTGGGTGGCGTGTTGGGTGGGCTGCGTGGCGGGTCGTCGGCTGGCCGCGGGGTTCGAGAGCCAAGGCGCAGGAGCCCGCCTCAGGCGCTTTTCAACAACCAGCCAGCCACAGGCGACGTTTTTCGGAGGAGGTACCCGCACCGCTACCCTTCCCTCGTTTGTCGCCACCGCTGGATTCGCATCGAAATTCTGGTCAGAACGCACCCCAGGAGAGGTCCGGTGAGTAGCCGCATCAGTATTTTGCGGTTTCTTCTTTTCCCCCAACCATCTTGTTGTGTTGGGTTTTGAAGAGGCAGCGCCCCGCGTCTCCTCTCCTCTTCTCTCCTCTCCTCCTTCCTCCTCCCCTTCCTCCTCCCACCCTTGCCTCTGCCCTCTGTATGTCCACCATTTCAGCGCACCCAGTACGGCGCTTCGTGGCCCCATTCCCGCGCCACCTAGTACGGCGTTCCGTGGCCCCATACGGAGCTCTACCGAAGGCTCAAGTGGCTGTGACCACATGCGTCCCGCGCCACCCAGTACGGCGTTTCGTGGCCCCATGGGGAGCTCCACCGAAGGCCCCCGTGGCTGTGTCTACATCCCTCCCGCGCCACCCAGTGCGGCGATTCATGTCCCCATAGGGGGTTCCACCGAAGGCCCCAATGGCTGTGATCACATGCGCCCGCGCCACCCAGAACCGCATTTCGTTGCCTCAATGGGGGGTTCCACCAAAGGCCCCAATGGCTATGATCACATGCGTCTCCCCTCGCCCATTTCGGCACACCTTACGCGCTTCGTGTCCGCATGCGGAGCTCCACCGAAGGTCCCAGTGGCGACGTTCGCAAGCGTCCCCCCTTCCATTTTGGCATGCACCTGCGCGCTTCGTGGCCCCATAGGGAGCTCCACCGAAGGCCCCAGTGGCGACGTTCGCATGGCGGCCCCGCTCCATTTCGGCACACCCCTCACACGTTTCGTGGCCCCATTTGGAGCGCCACCGAAGGCCCCAATGGCGGCGCGCGCGTGCGCGTGCGTCCCCGCCCCATTCTGGCACACCCTTTACACGCTTCATGGCCCCATGGGGAGATCCACCGAAGGCGATGCCCACAACGGCGATACTCACAACCACATATGGTCGGGCCCTTCGCCAGGATCATTTTCTCAGTTCAGTGTGGGCGGGTCGCGAGCGTGGTTCGCGGGCGTGGGTCGTGCGTGGGTCGCGAGTGGGTCGCGGGTGGGTATTGGGAGGGTCGCGGATGGGTCGCGGGAAGGTCGCCGGTGGGTCATGGGTGGGTCGCGGGTTAGTGTGGGTGGGTCGCAGGTTGGTCGCGGGTGGGTCGCAGGTGGATGGTGGGTAGGAGGGTCGCAGGTGGCAAACTATGAAAATGAAGAGGGTGAGGAGGCAAGCCAGTTGCGCTCGCGCCATATCTGACACCCGGCCTCTCCCGCTCGTCCCTTCCACTTGCGCTAAATTTGTTTCTATATGCTGATCGCGTGTCCTATTTCATTGGTTTTGATACCCGAAGTGGCCCCAGGTTCATTTCCACTGAGGGAACTGCCTCGTTGGGAGACAACCGCTTGAAGACCTGAAGCATGCC